TGTCCTAGAACATGAACCCTGTAGTCCCACGGTCCCAGGGAATGTCCCAGAAAATATCAACTATACTATTGTGAAATATATATTTGGTCTTTGTCCTGGCATGCAACTGCTAAAATCTTGGGTTTACTTGACTAATGGCTGGCAGCCCCTGGGTAGCTTGGGATGGGGCTGATCACCAGAAAGACCAAGCAGGATTAGAAGGCAGGAACTTACAGCTCCACCCCATCAGTCTCTAAGAAAGGAAACAGGGCTGAAGGCTAAGTGGATTACCAGTGGTCAATGATGTAGTCAATCAGGCCTATGTAATGAAGCTTCTATACAAACATAACAGGGCTCAGACGACTTCAGAACAGTGGAGGTTCCTGGTGGATGGTGCCCAGAGAGAGCATGGAGGCTTCATGTCCCCTTCCCCCTCACCTTACCTTATGCATCTCTTCCTCTGTAGCCTTCTTAATACCCTTTTTAATAAACCAGTAAATGTAAGTGCTTCTCTGAGTTCTGTGAGCTGTGGTAGCAAATTAATCAAACCCAAGGACGGGGTCATAGAAGCACTAATTTGTGGTCATTTGGTCAAAAGCATGGGGAAAACAACCCAGGGCTTGCAACTGGTATCCGAAGTAGGGGCAGCTGTGGGACTGAGGCCTCAACCTGTGGGGTCTGAGCCTACTTCTAGGTAGATAGTCTCAGAGCTGAATTGAATTAGAGTATAGCCAGCTGCTGTCTGTAGCTGAAGGACTGCTGGCTTTGTATGTAGGGAAACCCCCTACACACATGTGAGATTACAGAAGTATTTTGTGTTGTGAGAGTAAGGAGAAACTGAGTTTGTTATTCTTATATTCTCAGATCCCTCTGCCTCAGCAGTGTCCAACAACTGAGTCTTTGGACAGGGCCTGCTCAGACAGAAGTTGTGGCCTGCTAGACAGTCACATTCCCTGATGGTGAGCCTTGCCTGCCTGTACTTGTGCCCAGAGCCAGTGGGGACCCAGGGGTCCCTCCCTCTAGGGCAGCCTGGGGTTGTTTGCAACTGGCTCTTGGAGCCAGTGGGCATCTAGTTAAGAAAACATGGCCAGCTGGTCAAATGTCAAGTCCTGGTCCTGGGTACAGGATTCCAAGAGGCTCCCTGGACGACTGCTGCGGTAGTGATTTATGTCCCCAAGCATGCTTCCAGGGCCTGGCTGATGTTCCAGGATCCAGAGACACTGGACCCAGAGAAATACACCCTTGCTCCTGCCTGGCTCTGCCGTGTTGGCCAAGACCCTCAACTCTTGGCCATGTCTTCAAAGCTGAGACAGACGGGCTTATTCTGCAAGCTTGGTCTTTGAAAGTACCAAATGTGACAAATTCAAAGACGACAAACTAAAGTCCTATGTAAGTACATGGTTCAGTATCTTCCTAAGGGCCTTCTCTGGGCCAAGGGATTTTACACTGACTAAATCCACCATGCCAGCTAGTGTACCCGCTGCACAGATGACAGCAGCAAGGTGCTGAGCATTTGTCTTTCTCACCAGGCTTCCTGGTTCCTGGAATAGGTCACCTGCTCCTGAACCCCACTGCCAGGTGCCAAAGGGGTGAAGGCAGACGTGGGTGGCTGGGAGGGGTGATGCCTTCTCCCATGGGCCCCTCCAGGACTGCATGGGAGCTGGGAGAGGAGCACTCCTGGAGGGTTGGCAGGGCCAAGGATGTTCAGGGATCTCATAGGGCCCCACAGTCTTCCTACGACCTAAGTGTTCCCCTACCAGTGTTCCCCAGCCTCACCTGACAGGAGAGTGAGGAAGACGTCCTGCCTCCGTTGTATGATTTTATGTTTCAGCACTTTGGGGCCAAATGTTTATTTCAAAAGGGGGATTGGGGTGGGAGGGTGTCAATACAAAAACAATATTCTTCATGTAGACAGGGTTTTCCAATTTCAGATCTATTTGTATTACTGTCAACATTTTTGCTATGTCTCCAGCCACCAAGACTAGTACATGTATGTTAGTTTCAATTGACTTACTTTTTAAAACTTGAACCATATATTCTGAGCAATATCCGAAATATCTGCCTTTACTGTGCTAGTTATATTTTTTATTACTTTAAAAACTAAATACATAAATCTATATTTTATAAAAATAATGCCTTCAGAGTACCACCTGAAGTCATCTTGTCAATTACACAGTGTACAACACTGATTTAGTGTAAATCTTCAATCCGTGCTGGGGATCCTCCTGCAGGTCTAGCCATTGGGCCCTGAAGGAGTGAACAGCCTAGGCCGGGCAGAGGGGAGTGGGCAGATGCTGCCCAGGGGTCTAGAGACCATAGCACACATGCCAGTCCAAGAGATGCCTGGCCTTTTAACTCAGCAGCCAAACCCATGCCTCCCACCTTGAACTGTGCTTAGCAAGGCTTCGCCGCCGTGCCTTGCATTCCCCAGCAGAGCTGCAGAGAGTCTGAAGACTTCAGGGAGAAGGTGGGTTATTGTGGGGCTCTGTGGGGAGTAGGAGTCCCCAGGCAGAGAAAGAAAGGTGGAGCCTTTTGAGTATTAGCATAAGCAAAGGACACAGGGAAAAGGGTGGAGAGCTTCGCCATGGGAATTTGGGCGGTGCCCTGTGGCAGAGCTGGAGCTGGAGCCCTGTTAAAATGGCCTGCTCTGCATGTCTGTGGTTGGTGTGGAGGCCACCAGAGTGCACAGGGTTTTAAATTTCAATCGCCAATTGTAAAATTCTGAGGCTTGTACCTAAAATATGGATCCTTGGCCACCCTATTTAAAATCCTAAATCCCACCCCTCTTTCCTCTGCTCCATCTTCCCCTACCATTTAATGACTTTCTAAGAATTTGTGCGTAATTACCTATGCTTAGCGCGGTGTGCCTCTAAACGTTTAGTGGGATTTCCAAAGTACTTCAAACACGTGGCCCAGGTCTAGCGCATAGTGGGTGCTTAGTAAGTATTTAATGAATGACTAGTATTTAATGAATGACTAGCTAGTGCCACACTAGCTTCTGTTCCGGGGCCGCGGGGCGCCCGCGGGAGGGGCGGCGGCCAGGCCTGAAGCCCTGGTTCACCCTCGACTCAGCTTTTTTCAGGCTTCTGGGACAGATCTTAGGTCCAGCTGCCTACCTGATTTTGGGGAAAAAGAAAAAGAAGAAGAAGCAGCGAGAGGCAGTAGCGTTTGCTTTGGCAGATTTAAGGGCGAGCGAGGCTGCGCGCTGCTCCGGCGGGATTGGGTCTCGGATTTCCAGGGCCCTCCTCCCCCCTCGCCCTCCTGGGTATGATCTGCTGCGCGAGAATGGGGCAAGCCCGAGCTCCGGGAGCGGGGAGGGGGGGGGCGCTGCCACCAGAGGGCGCTGGAGTCCCAGCTCTGCGGCTAGTGCGCCGCAGGGCTCACCCGCCTAGCCCAGCAAAGGCCAGCGGACGCCCGACGGCCGCCTTCTTCCCTGGACCTCACTGCCTTCAGTTCTTTAAGGACAGGGACCAAGTCAGTGGGGCTCCCCGATCCAAGCTCTGTGCCCAGAGTGGGTGGGTGGATGGATGCATGGATGGCTGGATGGATGGATGGATGGGATGGATGGATGGATGGATGGATGAGTGCTGGCCCACAGCCATCTAACGGCCATCCAATGTGGTTTTGAAAAAAAAAAAAAAAAAAAAAAAAAAAAAACAAAAAACCTAAGAGCCCCCCCCTCCCACCACCAGAGTTCCAGAGCCCTCGCGGCCTCCTGCTGACCGCCCCTGCCTAATAGATCCGATGACCCCAGGCTTGGCCACTCCCCGACGGCGAGGACACCCCAGGGCATAAACGTCTCCCCAGGGCAGACCCCCAGATGGACCCGGCGACTGATTCCACTCCGCTGGAGGATGTGCGGGGAAGGACACGGAGAGGTGGCCAGGGCCGCCCACGGTCACAAAGCGAGGCACAGAGGGGCGCTGTCTTCACCCCCACGCCTCCTGGGTACCGGCCCGCACCCTCCTTTCGCTGCTGGACTGGGGCCATCTGGGATGTCCGGGGGGCATCTGGAGGGCTGAGCGCCGCCAACAAACGGCTCCGTGGGAAGAGTTTTCAAGACCCAAAAGGCAGACGCCAGGAATACTGTCCTAGGAGGCGGAGGTCGGGGCGGGGGAGTTTTTGTCTCAGCTCTTTGGGTCGCAATGAACTTTTCTTGGGTCAGGCAGGAAATACTTAGGTTTAAAAGACTTATTCTCAACTTCCATTTATTGACCATTTATTGAGTACTGTCGGCTTGTCAGACACGATGCAGAGGGCTTCCAGGCCTGGGGCCGGTCTCATTGAATCCCCCAGTCCCACTCCGCGGGTTGGGCCTGTGACGAGCCCATTTCACAGTTGAGAGGACAGAGGAACAAAGGCTACATTCGCATTTACTGAGGGCTGCTGGTGCATTCTGCTTTGTCTGTACAGGCGAGGAAACTGAGGATAGGCTGGTGGCGCCGTGGGCGTGGAGTCCGAGCCACGCTGACTGCAAAGACCGGTCTCCTTTCCTTGGACCGAGCTCTGCCTCGAGCCGGGCGGGGGGCGAGCCTGAGCCCCCACGCACAGAAAGCAGGAACCCCTCGGCTGCCTTGGGCCCCCACCGCCAGCAGCAGGCCCTCCGCCCCAGGATCAACTTGTTTGCTTTTCATTGTCTCTTATTCAGTTCCCGCCATTGAAAGGCCTGGTCCCGCAGCTTTCCACCCGTGCCTCACTTTCTGCTTAAGGGCCTCAGTCTCTCCAGCGAGGCCCTGTCACAGGGACAATAAGCGGCCCTCTAGCCGGCGTCACCCGGGCCCGCGGTGCAGGGTACACTCACTGCAGACCCGGCCCGCGGTCAGGGTCCCAGCGGAGCTGGAGAAGGTCAAAGGCCGGAGCGCACCGCGGCCCCGAAGCACAGCGGGCGCGGAGGAAGGGCGGGGGGCGCCGCTGAGGGGGACGCGCTTCAGATACCCTGGCCCACACCAGGACTCCGCTCCAGGCCCGCCCCTCTTCGTGCGCAGCGCCCCGCCCCGCCTGCTCTAAAGCGCCGGGCGAGCGCCTCCCGCCGCCGCACTTTCACTCTCCATCAGCCGCAGCACCCGCTCCGCGTCCGGCCCGCGTCTCGCGCTCTTCTGTCTGCCCGCCAGCGCCATGAACGCCAAGGTCTTGGTCGTGCTGGCCCTCGTGCTGACCGCGCTCTGCCTCAGCGACGGTGAGTGCGCTCGGCTGGGAGGCCCTAGAAAGGCTCTGGGCTCCGGCTCCCGTTCCCGCCCCGCGCGGGGCCGCGGCTCCTCTGCCTGTGCCGGCAGTTTGCGTTGCCCAACACAGTGGGGGTAGAGGAAGTCCGCCTCGCGGGGCGCTCCGGCACGGTGTCGCCTCCAAAGCCCCACTTTTGCGCCGAGGTTTTGTGACCCGCAGAGAGCGACCGCCCGACCTCAAGCGGGCTGCAGAGGAGGTCAGGCTAGATAACTAGTCAGGAACGCCCCGAGGGAGCGTTCGAGGCCGGCGCGGGAAGGCGAGGGGGTGGGGAGCCGCGGATCCCAAACCCCTGCTCCACCACCCACCAGCCAGTGTCTTCCTGCGCGGGGCTACGTTTCCAGCGGCTCATGGGCTCCGAGGTCCTGCTGCGCACAGTGCTGGAGGTCCGGCGGTGCATGGCGAGTGAGCGCTTTGCAAAGTTCATCTCACGCCGCGACCTGAATATGTGAGGTCAGATGCAGCCGCGCGGCCTCTGCTCCCCGCGAAGCCGATCCTTTCCCCGCACTCTTGTGGGACTCTGGGCCAGGCGCAGGCGGGCGGGCGGGCGGCGCTGCGCAGCTGTCGGGCTTGTGCCACTCGCCAGGCCGCGCTTCTGCACAGCTCTGCGGTCCGCAGCGACGCGGACCTGGGCGCGCGTCCAGCCGCTGCGTCCCTGCCTCTTCTCGGATTCTCCTGTGGGAGGCCCAGGGGCCCTCTGGGCCTCGCACGCCCCCTCGTCAGCTCCCCAAACACACCTGCAGACTGGCACTTTTGTCACCAGCCGACCGAGCGCTTTGCCCCGGAATGAGAGCTTCAGCAACTTCTATCTCCAAGGCCCTGGGCCACTGGGAACCGTGGTTTCCCGTTTCACTGGGAGAGGGCTTTTCTTCTTTTCTTTGGCTGAAGAGAAACTCGCTGCGCTGTCACAGGACACCGCTGTAAACCAAAATAAACTTGCCTCTTAACACAGAAAACAAAACCGTGTGGCTCAGGTCGCTGCGCGTTTTTTTCTGTGAAGTTTCCTGCAAAGAGTTGAAGAACACCCTGAGTTCTCTTGCAGCCGCGAGCTGTGCGGGACCAGCGCGCCCAGATCCCTCCTCTGGGTTCCTGCAGACGCGGCTCCGGCGTCCCCCCCGGCCGTGGACTGCGCGCTAGTGCGAGTAGGGCCCGCACAGCTGAGCCGGGTAGGTGAGGCTGGGCCTCCCGGGTTCGTGACGGACTGGCTGAGAGGTGTTAAGGACAGATTGAAGGCAATTGGGAATGTTTGTCGTTTTCGAAAAGTCCCTGAGTCAGTGTCTCCCCAATGAGCCCCCCAAGTCATCGGACATGTTTCTAGTTTTGATTGCTGGATATTCTTCTGTTCCTATAAGGGGTCTGGTTTGGGCGATTATTGACCGAGCGGTGGAGTAAGGATGGAGGTGTCACAGTGTACTACTCTGGGAAATGGTGCTGCCCCCTCTCCTAGAGGGCTGGAGAGAGGATTGGAATGAGGGAAACCGGTCCTTGAGTTATGGTTGCAGCTGACCTGGGGAAAGCACAGAGACGTGGGGTGCATCGAGACTCCTCCTGGCCTGGGAAGGGTGGCGTGGCTCTCAGAGTTGCGCCACTGGCAGTCAAGTAACCAGGGCAGGAGCCTGGGCTCCAGGCAGGTCTGCTTCTCCTTGAACACATCGCCAGAATGCATTTTTTTTTTCTCACCTCGAGGTGCCTATGTGCTCTCTGGCCCCACACTTAGTCCCCAAGCTGCACTACAGAGAGAGCTGGGCCAGGGGTCCTGCCCTTCCCTCATTGGCTGACCTCCATCAGACAACTGGGTCCTGGGCTTCCCGGCGTTAAACTCAGGGTGAGTCCCCTTCCCAAGCCTGCTTGGAGGGGCCAGCTGGGCTCCTGTCTCTGCATTAGACTTTGTGAAAACTCCTGGAGTAGAGCTCACCGGGTCCCAAATCCCGGGTACCATCAAAGCCAGTCAAGACTCTTCCCCGTACACGGAGTTACATTCAGATCGTTGGGAAAGTTAGTCTTACTGACAAAAAGCTGGAGGAAAGAGCACGAGAGGTGCTCACGAAGCCCTCTTGTCTTGGTAAGCACACCTGGGGCCTCTGTCACTTTAAAAAGACCTGTTGAAATTCGTTGCTTGACAGCCTGGCCTTAGGTTCTGGGAGTAGAAATAAGAATTGCTTTTGAAGGAAATGGATAATCCCAGGGGGTGGAGGGGGAGAGGAGTGAGGGCCTGTGTGTTGAGCTCCAAATAGGCTTTGATTTCTGGCCTGGTCACCACTGCTTGGTTAGGGGGCCAAAGGAGCTTCTCTCTTCTGGGCACTGGAGAGTCATAGCCCCACCCGCCCCAGTGGGGGTGGCTGCAGCACTAGCACTCGGCAGCATACCTTCCAGCTCACCGTAGCTCAGGGTGGGGTCTTGTGCTTCACTACCGGGCTCCTGTTCTCCTGCTTCACCACCAACCCACCCCCTCCTTCAGCTCAGAAGGGCCCAAAAGAAATCCAGGGAAACCTGGAGGCACAACACTCAGAGGAGAGTTTAACTTCGGGGCCCGGCCCTGGGATAGCTTTCCCAGGTGATCTGGTTACAGTGCAGTGGTGACTTCCCCTGCAGGGTCCCAGGGCAGCTGCAGGAAGCTGGCCCCAGAGGTGCCTTTCTGGAGTTAGATCAGGTATAAATGTGAAGGCTGCTCTGGGTCTCTCCTGTACCATGAGTCACCAGCACCCTGATGCCCCCCTTTCTCCTGGTTTTCAGGGAGTTGCATTTGGCCCTGGGGATAAGGAGATGGTGCTTTTGATCCAACTTTGTGGCTAAATACACACTACTGTTCCTAGGCCACATCATCCCTCAATTGATTGCAGCCTATAGAAAAAAAAACAAAATGTGCCCCTCACTCAAGATTTCCTCCTACTTCTCCAGCGTTCTTTGCCAAAAGTTCAGAACTTCAGAATCACAGAGACCTCTTAGAACTCTGTAAACAGCAAACTTCAAAAAAAAAAGTCTCTGGACTAAATGTTCTCAGACCTACATTGACTCTCTGATGAAAGGATCCACAAATTCAAATAATTTGGGGTATTAAATGGGGCTTGGATAAAATCTGCAAGGGAAAAAAAACTAAAAAACAAAAAGCACACACAAATTCCAGCCCTCCAGGGCTTGCAATTCTAGATTTGAAGGGTGAGTGGTGGGTTCTGCAGGAGCCCCTTGCAAATTTACACTAATGAGTGTCAATTATGGCATTTTGTAAATTGGTGATTTTGCAAAGATCTTAATAAAATTCCTGAGGCTACAGCATCCCTGCCCAGGCAATGAAAACCACATTTGATTCCAGCTCCACTAATCTCCAAGCCTTGGGGGAAGTGCTGGGCAGAAGAAGGTGGGCCCTCGGCCTGCTCTCAGGGGACTCGCAGGTAGGAAGCCAGCCAGGATTCTTTTGTGCTTTCCAGGGCTTAAGGTGAATGTGAAGGCGGGGGGAGGGCAGCATTCCTCAACGCTACTGTGCTTCCTGGCTAAGAGGCCAGTGCCAGAGGAGTGAGGCTAGGGAGCCTGGAGTCTCTTGGTCCCCCTTCCTTTTCCCTGAGTAGAGAGATCTTTCTCAGTTGTCCCTTGAGGAATGTATTTGACAAAGAGTAACTGGGAATTTCAGTACCTTGGACCGAAATCATTATCTCCTATAATTGCTGTCAGGTGGCTTCTAATTTAATCTCCTTACCCTCTTAGGGTCCTGCTCTCCCCAGGCCTTTTGGTCTCCTTGCCTTGTAGAAGCTGAGCCTGAGCTCAGCCAGAACTCACTGTGCTGCCTGAGGAGATGGCCCTTCCCAGAATGCACCAGTCACCTGGAACTCACCCCAGAGATGCCGTCTCTTGATCCTTCATTGCTGTACCAACTGCTGCAGACCCAGACACACATGACCAAAGTCTGGCAGGGTAGTAAATTGCTTTGTTCTCCTTACCTGTTCTAGGGAAGCCCGTCAGCCTGAGCTACAGATGCCCATGCCGATTCTTTGAAAGCCATGTTGCCAGAGCCAATGTCAAGCATCTCAAAATTCTCAACACTCCAAACTGTGCCCTTCAGATTGTGTAAGTCTTGAATATCATCCCCTAGGGATATTGCATCTAATGAACATAGTAACATCTAACTGGATTCTTGTTAGTGGTGTAGAAGTGATGTAAGCCAAGGGTCCAGCCTTGAATTTGGCATCATTAGTGGCAGCTATTCTTACCATGAGGACTTTTAGTATGGTCCCTGGCATGAATTTTAAAAGCTGCTCTTGACCTGGGCACCCTGCTGTGCCCATAGTAGTTCTCTCTTCTTTCTTCAGCACAGCACAGCTGGATGCCGGAGAAACTATGGCTTCACCAAGGTTTTGGCCGAAGCCTATTGCTAGCTAGCCCTTAGCTAGTAACAGTAATATCTATCTTCCCAGTTTCGGGAATCTGACGCTCTACATTAACTCACAAGACCCACGTTCAGTTTAAGTCCTCTTTAACCAATGAGTGAAACTTCAGCGTTTTCAGCCCACTTACCTGCGTTTTCTCAAGTACAACATATGAGGTTTTTGTGTTATTTGACGTGAATGGCAGCCGCTAACATTTGATTTCATTCGCCTGGGAAACAAGAAAGACCAAAATCACACATCCACAAGACAGATTTCAGCTGGGTACAGAAGACTGGAGAAGTGCAGGAAGAAAGCCATGTGCTAGAAAGCCAATACCTTGGCCCTCTCATTCTAAGAGGTCCTGTGTTTGAACACGGGGAGGTGAGGGCTCAGGGAGTCTCCTGGAAAGGATTTGATTGCTCAAAAGTCCTAGTGCTAAAAATGGGGTGGGGACACAGAGTTGGAACCAAAGCTATAACTTCCCAAAGACTTTTCCACCCAAAACATAACTATTTTGTTTTAATTTTAAAAAACTGTTTTTAGTTTTGAGTTAAGCCTTTAGTGCCTTGAATGTGTTTGTTATTTACTGTATGTTTTACGGCACTGGAAGACTAATGTTAGTTTGCCTACAATATAAGACTCTCTCTTGTGAAGAGTATTTTAAAGATACTGATTTTAGCTAGCATGGACCTGCTTTACAGCTCCCATCATGCTGGTTTGCTGGCCTGGAAATGCACTTTGAAGTTGAAGATGCTAAACCCAATTCTCAGGTCTGAGCAGACACTAAACTGACAAGTGGCAGGGCCCACATTTGCACCCCAATGTGTGCTGCTCCAAGCCACACCCATGCAGGAGTGGGGAGCCGCGTGCACACCTCCTTCACATAATGTACAGGCTGCTTGAAGACTCCCTGGGTGCCCCTGAGCCACTGTGCTGGGGCTTAGCTGTCCTCAGAGACCCTTAAGCGGCTGTGCAGGGGCGTTTTTGAGTTTTGTGAGATTACCTGGCACCTAGGACATTGGGGCGAGGGATCCAGAAAGATGAATCCAGGCTCTCCCCAGGGAATTTTTGTGTAGGGATGCTTTTAAAAGTGTGAACTTTTAAAAAAACAAATGAGACCAAGAAACATTCAGTGAACTTGTAAAATCTTTCTAGAAACTATTTTCTGCTAAGCCACCTGCACTGCCCCGCCCATCCCTGGCTGCTCACCCTCTCCCTCAGATGGTTACTTTTGGCAGGCTTCCTCCCTCCAGGCTTCCTCACGCCCATCCTTAAGTCGGCCTCTTGTCAAGATGATATCGGTCAAAAGGACCCTTCCAAATAAACCTCTGCTCTGTTGCTCTCCATTCTACCCTCCACAGGTGCCTAGAGCATCCTGTCCCCCTTCTTCAGTGTCCTCTGTGTGCTCTGATGACCTCCCTCGCATATTTGCTCCTGTTTTTCCCTTCCCCTTCATTTACTCTCCAAGCTCCTACTTACCTTTCAAAGGCAGCTCAAATGCTGGCTTCCATGAATTCCCCCTGCACTGCCTGGGAAAGGCTTCTGTTCACATTTCCATGTCTCTGCAATGGAACTTCCTGCGCTGCCAGCGCCGAGCTTTCCCCAGCACACCCGAGCACCTCTGGAGCCTGAGCATGCCAAGCGGAGCACAGGGCGACAGTGAGGGCCCGGGATGGGTGTTGGGGCGGCGGACCTGCACGTTGCAGCCGCGCCTTCCTGCGGTGCAGCTGCACACTATCGCCGTTCTGTTTCCGCAGGGCACGGCTGAAGAACAACAACAGACAAGTGTGCATTGACCCGAAGCTAAAGTGGATTCAGGAGTACCTGGAGAAAGCTTTAAACAAGTAAGCACAACAGCCAAAAAGGACTTTCTGCCAGACCCACTTGAGGAAAGCTAAAACCTTGTGAGAGATGAAAGGGCAAAGATGTGGGGGAGGGGCCCTGGTTCATGAGGACCTGGTGTGCGTGTGGGGTGGGCGCGTTGTTCTGGGATCGAGCCTGAGGTTTGCCAGCACTTAGACACTGCATTTATAGCATACGGTATGATATCGCAGCTTGTATTCATCCATGTCCCGCACCCGTGCACGTTGGAGCTTTTATTATGGGGCTTTTCTAAGAAATTGTATTACCAACAGCATTTCCCAGCAGTCAGTTCCTTCATGATCATCACAATCATCATCATTCTCATTCTCATTTTTTAAATCAACGATTACTTCAAGATCTGTATTTGGCTTGTTTTGGAGCGTCTCCTCTGCTCCCCTGGGGAGTCTGGGCACAGTCAGGTGGCGTCTCAGCAGGGAGCTGGAGAAAGTGTCCTTCCTCCAGATGCTGGGGAGGCTCCGGCAGCGGTGCCCCTCCCAGGAGGAAGGCCTCTGTGGTACTCAGGGCTGGGCTCTGTCACCACTTTCACCTCCTCTTTCAACTTCAGCGATTGACTATGTGGGCTCCATGTAGAAGCCACTGTCACTGGCACTGTGCTCAGAGACCCCTCTCCCAGCCATTCCCACCCTCTCCCTACCTCCAAGAGCATGCTTAATCCCGCTTCTGCTTCTCATTTCTGTAGCCTGATCAGTGCGGCACCGGCCGGGAGGAGGGTGTAGCTGGGGCTCGTGCCCTGCATTCCTCTCTTCCCAGGGCCTATCCCTGCCAGCTGGGGCCCTCTGTGAGATCCGTTTTTGGCCTCCTCCAGCATGGAGCTGGCCCTCTCCTGGGGACATGTGATGGTCCCCCTGCTTACCCACAAAAGACAAGTCTCTGCAGAATGAAATGCAATTTTAAATCAGAGGGCTCACTTTGAGCAATTTGGTTTTGTGATTGCCTCTAAAGCCTATGTATGCCAAGGAGGCACTACAAACTCTGAGGTTTCTGAAATCAGAAGTGAAAAAAATGAGTGAATAAACCAGCATCTTGCCACTACCCACTCCTGAAGCCACAGCAGGGTTTCAGGTTCCAATCAGAACTGTTGGCAAGATGACATTTCCATGCATAAATGTGATCCACAGATGGTCCTGGTGGTATTTGTAACTTTTTGCAAGGCATTTTTTTATATATATTTTTGTGCACTTTTTTTTTTACGTTTCTTTAGAAAACAAATGTATTTCAGAATATATTTATAGTCGAACAATTCATATATTTGAAGTGGAGCCATATGAATGTCAGTAGTTCACACTTCTCTATTATATCAAACTACTGGCAATTTGTAAAAAAATAAATATGATATATAAATGTGATTGCAGCTTTTCAATGTTAGCCACAGTGTATTTTTTCACTTGTACTAAAGTTGTATCAAATGTGACATTATATGCACTAGCAATAAAATGCTAATTGTTTCATGGTATAAACCTCCTACTGTATGTGGGAATTTATTTACCTGAAATAAAATTTATTAGTTGTTAGTGATGGAGCTCATAGATGTTTCTGGTTTATAGTTAAGCCTGCCTGTGGTCAGGTGCCTGAGACCCCTTCTCACAGTCCATGTGTGACCCAGTGTATGGGCTTTTCTCACGAGCAGATGAGATCTGCAGCTCAAGTTTTTGCATCATTTTTTTTTCTAATCCAATTGAAATAGCAGTGCTGGTTTTCTGAAGAATAATATTTGACTCACTAATTCCTCTCCCCTCCCTCCTCCTCCTTGGTTCTCCTAACATCCCCATGTAATCCCCAGAGACTCAATCCTAGTAATATCAAGCTTTCACATTTTCCCATGTAAAAATCCCATGACTCCAGGCCATGGTTAATATCAAGCTTTCACAGGGACAGGTGGCCTCACCCCATAAATCATTAAATACCATTCAGCTTGAATCATTTTAATGTGACAGTCACAAGCCAGTTGCTCTAATAAAATTCTGCTAACCATCTCTCTCCCTTGCTCTCCAGAACAATCGCAGTCACTCCTGGGGGTGTTCACAGGCATCTAGAAAGGAGAAGGTGGGACCACTGACTTCTTTCTCTTCTTCTGAATGGCAGTCTGAACCTGGGGCCTTCTGCCTCCAAAATGTTATTCAATTTGAAATGCAGACATTTCTCAGAGAAAGCTGAGAGTTCAGTCCTGCATTGAGAAGGAGGAAAAATCTCATGAGAGCAGGGCAGGGCAGGGGAACAAAGACCATGATGGCCAGCCTGGCCCTGGGCATATCCTGTGATATGGATTCCTTGTCCCCAGTGGGAACCAGGCTCAGGTTGGCAGATTGGCTGTCACTGTAACCCATTCACAAAGGTGTTCTAGGAGCCCATTGAAAATTAGTTTGAATGGAAGGAAATGTCCAGTTTATCTTAATGAATTACTGATAACCAGTGCTTTGACCAGGGGCCTCCATGCCTGAGACTGAAGACACAGTTTAACTGGTATATGGGCCAGTGTTAAATCTTATGCAGACTGAAACAAACTTTTGTTTATTTCCACATTATTAATGGTTCTACTAATTTTATCTAAGGGGGCGCAGAGAAGAAAAAGTGGGGAAAAAAGAAAAGATAGGAAAAAAGAAGCGACAGAAGAAGAGAAAGGCTGCCCAGAAAAGGAAAAACTAGTTATCTGCCACCTCGAGATGGACCACAATGCACTTGCTCTCGGCGCTTTGTAAATTTGCTTGATCCTCCTCCAGGACAGACCCCCATGCAGACTGGGCAGGGGCTCAGACCTCCGTGGGGGAGCAGCACTCTGCCACCCCGCCAGCCACACCGGCTCCTGTATTCATGTGCTTTTTAAGGCCCTTATTGGTCTGCTAAGTTATGAAGAAAGTAGTTGTGCAGAGACTGGGGGCGGGGGTCTGTGATGCAGAGCCTGTGCACTCAGGACACTCCAGAATAGCCTGGGATCTCCAGGAATGCTCAGGTTGCTGAGCCCCCTAGCCCGCCCTCCACTCCCTCTCTTAGAAGGCCTGCACTCACTGGGGAGCTCACCAGCTCCACACACTTGCAGTCTGCATTCCTGTGGAGACCAGGCTGTGGCCACCTGGCCAGCATTCAGGGCAATCTGCTAGCCCAGCAGAGGTGTCCTGGCCAGGAAGTGGGTGCACCACCTTTCTGTGGCCTTTGGGGCAAGTGGAAACTGACTTGCCCTTAGGGCCAGGCCCTAGCTTTTTCCAAATACCCATTGCCTTACCCTCCACCACTCTGCCACCTGAGAAGGGGCTTCTTCAGCTCCTCCTTCCTGGGTTGTGGGAGCGGCTTTACCCCCAAGCCTGAGTGGGTTTCTACAGATTGGGTGGGGTGAGCCAGACGGAATGCTGCATTCTCAGAGAGCAGATGTGGAAACACTTCTCAGGGAGCTCCTCTTTGGGCAATTCTCTTTAGAGTTTTTAAACGGGTACCCCACGTGGAGGACAGATGTGCTACAGAACTTTGCAAGGGGCCTGAATCCCTGGGGATTCCAGCCGTCCCCTCCTGCCTCCTGCGTGATGGCGTGTGCTCCTCTGCAGGGCACAGCTGCCTCAGTCCTCACTCATGGGAAATACCTTAACTGCCTAAAGCAAATACCACTTAAGCTCTAGAACTTTCCTGCACCCTCCTCCCATGCCCATGTAGAAGTATGTGTGAGATTTTTTTCCAAGTTTGTCTAATCTGGACCAGGAGGATGGAAGAGCAAGGCCCCAATTTCAGTAGCGCTCTGAAAAAAGAATTGAATTTCTCAGCTCTTCTCCACCTCAGATAAACACCTGCCCACCCTGCGCTCCGATCCTGGGTCGTAATTTTAATAAATGCATGCAGAAAGAGTAAGTGGTTGGAGGATGAAGCAAATGGAATTCAGGAGAAAACCCACCAAGACCCCTGCATGTCAGACACCCCCCATCCAGGAGCGCCGTGTCCCCTTGAGCTTTAATGAGCTCCCTGTGACCACAGCCATGCCTTCTCCTCCTTGGGGAGGCATCCCAGGACACTGCAGCCAAAGACCTTTGTTTCCTGCTGCTATCCCTTTTATCTGGACAACTCTCCTGGCCCATGTTCTTCTCGTCAGCACGGGGGGCCCCAGGCCTGAGCCCTGGGTACAGGGGTGCCCTAGTCTCCATGCCCTCCTCACTTCTTAAGGTGCGGGGCTCTCAGATGGGCTTCCTGGGGCTGCCGCCCTTCCCGTGGGATCCAGCAGTCACTCTCGTCCATGGGACTCTGACAGCAGCGCCCTGAGAGGGCCAATCTGTGGCCCCATGCTCACCTGCTTTCTTCAGTCTCCACATGCAGCAGGGCTCCATGCCTGGGGAGGGGTGGCCAGTCTGTCCTGGTCAGCATGAAGAGCTGTTGGCCCTCTAGGAACAGAGGGCCCAGCTAGGGCTGCCTAAGGATACAAACTGCTTGCTGCAGTGACAAGCAATGCCGCCTCCCACCCATCCCTCTCCTGGGGAGCAGGGTCTGCAGGGACTGAGAGGGGGCATTCTTGAGAATGTATGCAAGGTCCATCCTGTCTTGATGTCTTGATGTGATTGCATGGGCCCTAGGGCCTCACTGTGGCTTACAAGTGGCTTGTGAAGCTCCTGGGAGCAGGTGGTACACCCACCACTGAAGACAGGGTCGCCATGGAAGAGCGAAGAGCCCGACGGGGATACCTGGTGGGTTGAAAGTTGGAAGTGCTTATGCCTGTCAGCACCAAATGAGAGGTGCACCATGGTCACTGCTAGGTCCAGCATGCATTCCTCCTGGGAAGTCCTGGCAGCCTGTGCACCCACCCCTGTGACTCCTCCAGCAGCCCCACCTGGGGCCACCTGCAGTGGCATGGCACCTGGCTGAGAGACCCAGTGGGCAAGGGGTTGCTGGAAGCCATGGAAGTGTCTCTTGGGAGGGCTGAGGCCAGGATGCAGGGCAGTAGCATCCTGAGCCTCAGCCCCATGCCAGTGCCGAGTAAGCAGTATGCCCTGTCCCCGTCATGTGACTGCTCAGACGGGCCTTTCTGTGCCTTCGTGCGTCTGCCACGCCCAGTGCTTGCTGCGTGTCAGTTCTCTGCTTCCCGCTTTCCATCAGTCCCTCTGCTTCAGCCTGGCTGCGTCTCGCACTCCCCTCCCCTCTGCTGTCCCAGGGTCTCTGAAGGGAGATGCATGGCCAAGGTGGCAACTTGGAAGTACGGAGCGGCCCCAGGGTCTCTACACAGGCAGCCGCCCTGCTGGAGTCCGCTGGGTGTGGGGGGAACCTGCCTTAATGGTGTTTCCCTCTGTTCTTGTCAACAGGAGGTTCAAGATGTGAGAGGGTCAGACGCCTGAGGAACCCTTACAGTAGGAGACCAGCTCTGAAACCAGTGTTAGGGAAGGGCCCGCCACAGCCTCCCCTGCCAGGGCAGGGCCCCAGGCATTGCCAAGGGCTTTGTTTTGCACACTTTGTCATATTTTCACCATTTGGTTATGTAGCAAAATATATGACATTTATTTTTCATTTAGTTTGATTATCCAATATCACTGGTGACACATAGGAGGTTAGCCTAAGGCCATTATTGTACTTGCCTTAATAGAGTGTCTTTCCATGGAGTCGATCCTTTGACTCAGGGCTACTGGGTTTTGTATTCTCTGAGCTGTGCAGGCGGGGAGCCTGGGCTGAGGGAGCCTCGTCCCCATGGTCAGCCCTAGGCTGGAGGGCCACCAGGAGGGATGCCTGGGGGTGCCAGGACCAGTTATCCTGGGCAAAGCCTAGTGAAGCCTGCTCTCTGTGGGATGGGATGGCGGAGGGCTGTACATGAGGCTCACCCTCTTCTCCATCCACATGGGAGCCAGGTCTACCTCTTCTGGGAGGGTGGCAGGGCTCCCCTGAGCTGAGGCAGCAGTGTGAGGCCAGGGCAGAGTGAGACCCAGCCCTCATCCTGAGCACCTCCACATCCGCCACGTTCCGCTCATCATTCTGTGTCTCATCCATCGTCATGTGTGTCCGAGACTGTCTCCATGGCCCCGCAAAAGGACTCTCAGGACCAAAGCTTTCATGTAAACTGTGCACCAAGCAAGAAATGAAAATGTCTTGTGTTACCTGAAAACACTGTGCACAACTGTGTCTTGTTTGGAATATTGTCCATTGTCCAATCTTGTGTTTTTGTTCAAAGCCAGTGTCCTCTGTGAACAGTGTCTTAGTGCATGAACTGTTCCCCGTATGCAGCCGCTGAGCGAGGTGATGCCCCTTGGTCCCTTTGAGTGTGGTCCTGATCGGAGCCATGGTCCTTTGGGGTGAACTGCCTTGGTCCCCCCACTGATGACAAAGCCATAGTGGGTCCATGGGCAGAGCCCAAGGGAATTCAGTGTGCACAAGAGTTGACCCCAGAGGATGTCTGCCCCTCAGTGCTCTCTCACTTGTCAGTACCTTCAAACTGGGGCCAAGCCCAGCACTGCTTGAGGAAAACAAGCATTTGCAACTTGTTTTTGGTTTTTAAAACCCATGAAGATTCCTTCCCAATTCACATCTAACCTCATCTTCTACACCATTTGGCAACACCATCATCTTCTGCCTTCCTCCCTGGGCCCTCTCTGCTGCTGCATGTCACCTGTGCTTCCAGCCTTTTCCGCAGGACATTCCTATAAGAGAATGATGTGCTGTGTGAGGAGTAAGTCAACCCCGCTGACTTTTGGCATGTTCCCCTTCCACTGAGGGCAGTCGGTAGAGCTGCAGTAAACCACTTAAAATGTTCGCTTTTGACAAAGGCAAGCACTTCAGGGTTTTTTGTTTTGTTTTTCATTCAGTCTTACTAATACTTTTCCACGGTTAAAAAAAAAAAAAAGTTAATGAAGAAAATGGAAAACAAGGAAGTCAAAGCAAGGAAACTGTATGTAACATGTAGGGAGTAAATTATAGTGATGTAATCTTGAATTGTAAATGCTTTTGAATTTAATAATCTGTAGGATAACTAGTAACATGTTAAGTATTTTCAAAAATATTTCTAATTGGATCTTCATGGCAGAAGGCAAATTCATCCACCAAAATTGTTCCTTAAAAATTTAAATCCTCAATCCAGCTATGTTATATTGAAAAAATAGAACCTGAGGAATCTTTACTAGTTATAAAGAAACAGAACTCTTTCAAAACCTTTGGAAATTAACCTGTCATTATAGCAGTATAATTGAGTTTTCAGTGGGGCAGTCATCATCAAGGTAAACCAAGATATTTTAAAATCTGTCACATAAGAACTTGAATGTATCTGCTGCCATGAACCAAGACCATTGAATTTTTGGTTGAGGAAACAAACTTGACCATAAATCTTGACTACAGTCAGGGAAGGAATCGTTTCTATTTCGCCTCCATGGGCGAAAATAGATAAGAGTAGAAACTGCAGGGAAATTTATTTGCACAACAATTCCTCTACTAACAATCAGCCCCTTGGTAGAGACTGCCCAGCTAAAGCAATACGCATTTAAATGCACTCTTCCATTTGCAAGGGAAAGGTCTCTTGTAATTGAGTCTCTTTTTGCTTTCAAACTGCTAGTCAAGTGCATCAGCTAGGGGTTGACTAGGGATCGCTCAGCTGCCCCTCTGGGACCTGGTTCTGCCTCTACCTGACATTCCCTTGGGCTCCCTGTAACCTCCAGGGAGGCCCTCGCTGCCAGCTCTTCATCAGGACCCAGAGGAAGGGGCCAGGGCTCACGGACAGGCTGTGTGTTGGGATCGAGTCTGTGCCATGTGTTTGTGCTGTTGTGTGTCCCCCTCTGGTCGGGCACTGAGATGCCAGCGAGAAGCTCCGGAGAGCCCTCTGCTTGTTATTAGAGATTACCTGCTGAGAAAAAAGGTTCAGCTTGGAGAAGAGGGGCTGAATAGCCAAAGGTCACAACCCCCCCACCCAACCCCCAGCCTTAGATATTCTAAATTTTTCCCTTGGATCTTATCTGATCCTTCCATGGTGTGATCTTCTGTCATTGTCACCATGGGCTCCCTGACTGGAAGTTGATTGCCTTTCTCAAGCGATAGACCCTTTTCCAGCGGGATTAGTATCTGAGTGCTCTGATCCTTCTACAGAGCTTCCCTGACCCATTCTGAAGGAGCCCCATTTCTGGGAAATGCTCCCTAGAAACCTCCAGATTCCCTAAGCAGACCACTGACATGGCCAAGGTGACAAAACCATGTTGAAAATTTATTTTGCAACCTCGCTGGACTCTCGGTCTCTGAGCAGTAAAGGGTTCAGTGTTAAATGTGATGAATACTGTATTTCGTATTGTTTCCATTGCATCTCCCAGATAATGTGAAAGTGGTCCAGGAGAAGGCCGATTCCTATATGCAGTGTGCTTTAAAAATAAATAAGAAACAATTCTTGGAGAAATAACAATTTCTACTTTGAAGTCATACCAATGAAAAAATGTATATGCACTTATAATTTTCCTAATAAAGATCTGTATTCAAACGTAGCCACCAACAGTTTGAAATTAGTGTTACTACTTGGAATTCTCTGAACATGCTTTTTTTCCCCTCAGACCCAGCACTGAGGGTTGTGGAATCCTGGCTACAGTGGTTCATGGAAAACAGGCCATTATAATCACGCTAATCACAGATGAGAATTCTGGAGGCATACTTGCCTCTCCTGGACAGCTGATCCTTAGCAGGGAGAAGGGTTAGAGCTGGCCAGGAAGGGCCGCGTGGTGTCAGGGGACCTGTGCAGGGGTGAAGATCAGCAGACTGGGGCTTGCGTTCCATTCACTCTCTACTCCCTCTGTGATTTGAGACACATCCCTTGATCTCTCCGAGCTCCAGTCTCTCAGCTACAACACCAAAGCTTATTACTGCCAAGGGTCGAGAAGATTAGACTGGGAGAGTGTGTGGAATCAGCTAGCTTTGGAGGGACAGGACAAAGCCCACCCCTCCACCCCGAAAGTTCCCCATTTTGCTCCCTCTCCCCACCTCCTGTTTCCTGGGGTCCACAGAGCTGGAATAAGACCCACATCTGCCTGTGCTGAGCCCCTTAACAGTGCAGAGACCATTGCAGCTGGAAGTGACCTAGAAGCTGAGCCTGCCCCTCAGCTAAAGGACGGGGAGAAGTCACTGGATCACATTCCCTCTATCTCCAGCATGCCACACCGCTGTCCTGGCACCAGGAATTAACAGTGGGCTGACCCTTCAAAATGACCTGGCATCAGAAAGTCTGAGCCTTGGCATGCTTGCACCCTGCCCTCATTTACTCAGCCAGCAATAGCTGCGATGCCACTCCTGCACCACAGGAGTGTGGGGAGCAAGACACACTTGCTCTGACTCCATGGAGCCTGCAGTCCAGCGGGTGCGGTGCAATGAAGTGAGTATTTTTCTTCTTTCTTTTTTGAGATGGAGGGAGGCTTGCTCTGTCACCCAGGCTGGAGTGCAGTTGCTTGGATCACTGCAACCTCCGCTTCCTGGGTTCAAGCAATTCTCCTGCCTCAGCTTCCCAAGTAGCTGGGACTACAGACGCGCTCCACCAGGCCCCGCTAATTTTTGTATATTTAGTAGAGACAGAGTTTCACCATGTCGACCAGGATGGTCTCGATCTCCTGACCTCATGATCTGTCTGCCTCGGTCTCCCAAAGTGCTGATATTACAGGCGTGAGCCACCGCGCCCGGCTCAACTGGGTATTTTCATATAGTATGGTGCATTCAGGCATCAGGGAAGCTTAAAGTAGAAAACACCCCTAACTTAGGCATCAGCGAGGACTACCTTAAAAAGCGCTGGTGAAGGTGAGACCTGAGAAAAGTGAATTCTTTGGAGGGGTGGTCTACTGAGCCCATAAGGGCTGGCATGGAGAGCCCAGGTGATGTCCTCCTGTGAATTGGAAAGGGGGCTTATTCTAGAAGCCGAGGGTACAGCTCACACAGGGAGCCTGGCATGGAGGGCACAAGGCACTGGTTTCAGCCTCCTCTCTCCCATCACTCGTGGAAGGCACAACACAACTTAGAAAGCTGGGACCCCCATGGTGATGGGGTCCCCTCAGCACAGCTGATTGCATGAAGTGGACACCAGATGTGCACTGCAAGCCAGTCTGATTTTCTGTCACAGGAATGCAGGGCTGTGATTCAACAGCATTGGGCTTTGCCCCCTTTCTCTGTCCTGCAGCTAAGGACTGGGCACTCTGGAGTGTGGGCCGCGAGGAGGCAGAAGCAGAGGGAACCCCCCCACCCTGCTTGAAACAGATTCAGAGACAGAAATGGGGATGCAAGACCAGGAAGCCCTAGAGGGAAGCAACCTGTGCCTGCCTATGGAGGGCCTAGAGAACCTCGGAGGGCGTTGGTCACTGGTGAGGTCCAGTCGCACTCCCCGCCTTAGGTTCTGTGTGTTCCAAGTAAATCCCCTCGGAGCTAAAATGAAGATTTCTGCTATTTATACTCAAATAATCATCACCAAGGTCAATTAGCCAGCTCCAATGAAAGACCATTTAGATAAGCGGTCCCCAGTCATTTTGGAACAGGGATCGGTTTCATGGAAGACAGTTTTTCCACAGACAGTGCAGGGTGGGGGGAGTGTGATTTTGGGGTGAAACTGTTCCACCTCACAGCATCAGGCATGAGATATATTCTCATAAGAAGCACACAACCTAAGTCCCTCGCACGCTTAGTTCACAACAGGGTTCTCACTCCTGGGAGAATCTAATGCCCTTGCTGATCTGATAGGAGGAGGAGCTCAGGTGGTAATTTTCCCTCACCCACCCCTCACGTCCTGCTGGGCAGTCCAGTTCCTAACAAGCCATGGGCCCCTTCTGGTCTGCAGCCTGGGGGTTGGGGAACCCTGATTTAGACCACGCAGATTCGCTAGCCCTGCTGCTACACATTAGGATCAATCAAATACCCAGAGGCACTCCCCAACCCTCTCCCCACATAAGGCACACAGGAACCATGCAGCATCCACCCTGCCTGCCCCGCATCAGCTGTGGAAAGACGGCTGAACACCGGTCAGCCTGGGAGAGCTCTGGCCCAGCCACCAGGTGTGTGTAGGGAAGGCTGGGACCTACCGCACAGCCTGTGTATCTACTGAGCCGAGCAAGCTGGAGATGGCCAAGTCCTCAGCTGTCCTCAGGTGGAGTCTGCTCCTAGGCATCCCCCACTAGAAGAAAGCTCCATAATGCCTTTTCAGGGTTACCTCCCAGTGCCTAGTCACAGGTGTTTCACAGACTTGATGAGTGAGCTGACTCTTCTGGCTGCTAGGTAGCACCAGGCCTTGGGTGGCAGCCTCTGGTCAAGTTAAGAGCCCAGCCCTACGGTTCCCATCTTAGCTGCTCTCAGATTTCAAGGCCATTGCCCTGCTCCAGGTAAGAACATAAGGAGTTGTGTCCACCTCTTGGCCCATGAAACCAAACAGAAACAAAGCTGAGTGAAGCCATAGATGAAGCCTCTGGACCCCCAACCCTCCTATTCTTGCTATGAATGGAGGGGACTGGGGTGGAAAGAGGGACTTGTGGACTTGGCAGCTGAGTGGAAAGAGCCCTGGGCTTAGAATGAAGGATGCAGCTGGCGCCCTTCAAACTGCTGTTTAAACTTCTCCAGCCAAGTCTCACTCAGTCCACCCTGGATCTGCACCTCTAAAGCTGATCAGAGCTTAGAAATAATTCTTTCTTGCTGTCCACTCTCAAAATTCATAATACCAACCTCCAGCAGGTCCTCATAGCAGCCTGATCCTACGCAGCCCTTGTGCTTGCTCTCCCTACTCCTGGAGGCTTGTTCCATGCTTTCATTCTCTCTCCTTAAGCTTTCTTCCTCCTCTCCTTTGTCAACTCACAGCTCGTGACCTGGCTTCCTCTGTCACGCAATGAAAGGAAGCATCATGGAGGGGGTTTTCTCAAACACTACATGTTCTTCACTTATAAATGGGAGCTAGATGATGAGAAGACATGGACACATAGAGAGGAACAACACACACTGGGGCCTGTCGGAAGGTGGAGAGTAGGAGGAGGGAGAGGATCAGGAAAAAGAACTAATGGATACTGGGCTTAATACCTGGGGATGAACTAACCTGTACAACAAACCCACAAGACACGAGTGCACCTATACAACAGACCTGCACGTGTACCCTCAAACTTCAAAAAGAAGAAGGGGGTTTTCGCAAGCTTTACCTCTCATACACCCACCCATCCAATCTGTATGCACTCTGGCTGCTGTCACCTCCCTCCCAGCCACCCAGCACCTGGGATGTGGAGACCAGCATTCCTCACCTGCACAAGGATGCCTTTCCTGACTTCCCCTTTCCTCTACATCATAATTTTCTCACTGCTTACATTAACCTGCCAACATGTTATACAACCTCCTATCAAAAACAAAGCGAAGCCACATTGAAAACGATCTCTGAACTATATTCTCCTGCATCTTCTGCAGTATCTCTGCTTCTCATCACACACAAGCCCTCAAAAGAGTTGTCTGTGTTCCCCGTGTCCACTGTCTCCACCTCTCCCCTCCATGAGCCCACTTCCATTAGCATTTTGACCCTACGACACACGCCCTGGAGCTGCTCAGGCACTAGGCTGCCAGTCAGCCCCATGCTGGGAAATCCAAAGGCCAGTTATCAATGCTCAGCTTCCTCGGTCCCTTGGCATGGCCTGACATTGTTGACCACCCTCCTTGAAGCACATTTTCCACTTGGCCTTTAGGAGGCCACTCTTGCTCGTTTCTTTGGCTCCACACCCTCTCATTCCCCTTTGCTGCTTCCTCTTTCTCCTCCAGACAGCTCAGCGTGAGAGTACCCAAGTCTCAGTGCTCCTAGCTCATCTTTTTCTTTTTCTTTCTTTTTTGAGGCAGAGTCTCACTCTATCACCCGGGCTGGAGTGCAGTGGCATGATCTCGGCCCACTGCAACCTCTGCCTGCCGGGTTCAAGCGATTCTCTTGCCTCAGCCTTCTGAACAGCTGGGATTACAGGCCAACACCACCAGGCCTGGTTAATTTTTGTATTTTTAGTAGAGGTGGGGTTTCACCATGTTGGCCAGGCTGGTCTCCAACTCCTGAACCCAGGTGATCTGCCCTCCTTAGCCTCCCAAAGTGCTGGGATTACAGGTGTGAGCCACCACACCTGGCCCTAGCTCTTCTTGAGCACCAGTTGTACTCACTTGCTCTTTTGACCTTGAACACCAAGGAAACATGAAGGAATTCCAGAGTGCCATCTCTAGCCCAGAACTGTACACCCAGCTCCTCCTTTGAAATGCACCATATGCAGAATGAAACTGAATTTCCACCTGCTTATCCCCATTTCTACAAATGGCAACTCCATCCTTCCAGTGGTTCAGGCCAAAGCCCTCATATTTATCTTTAATTGATTTTATTCTCACACAACCCCAAGCTAAACCATTAACAAAACCAATTAGTTATCGTGAAAATATTTTCAGAATCCAATCACTTCTCATTGTTACTGTCTTGGTTCAAGTCACAGGGGTCTCCTGCCTAAATCACTGTGCTAGCCCC